AGGACTCAATCAGTCCAATGCTTCTGTTACCATGAGTCACAGAGGAGCCATGTTGTTCATGGTGATGTGCAGCCTTCATTTTCAGCTTATTTCCATGCAAGTCTCATCTGATCAGAGCCACATGGACGTGTTCCTGTGGCCCCTACAGGGCCCTCTCTGGGCTCCCTGACTAGGGGTGAGTATTGGCATGTGTGTTGGGATGTGATACGTGTCAAAATACTTGGATATTGCAATATTTTTAACCAGTTATGATAATGAAATGTATAGATAAAAAAGCAGGTGCTGTATATGTTCATCAGAATCCATGTTGTTTGGGGTTTGAGTCGCTCCACTGCTTCTACTGTGACCGCCTTAAGAAATGGTGCTGCAGCTCCACCATCTACCAGGGTGGGGGTGCAGAGACAGCCAATTTTCCCTCACTGTTTTAGATAACATGTTTTTATAAAATCAATATTAGGAATTGAAAGATCGAGATTTTTGGGCAGCCGAAAATCACGACATATGGCCAAATCCATTTATCCCTGACTGATGAAACGCACTTCTTGTCCATCATTTAAGGTGGCAGATTTGTATTTTCTATATGTTTAAAGGCTCCCATCGTACACCTGCTAGAGTTAAAGTGAAAAGTAAAATACACGCAGTTGATTACTATATTAGAGTATCTTTACTTGAGTATTTTTTGGGGTGGGTACTTATAACTCATTCCACTACATTTCCAGTAAGCTAGCCGGGGCTTGTTTGTAACCTGCTGTTGCTGTTTTTCTTTCTTGAAATGCAAACGTTTCTGACAGAGTTCAAAGTTCATCCTTAGGAACAGCTGTCCTGGATCTTCTACTCATCTCTTTTCAACACACCAGGGTCAGATGGTAGCTCGTTAGCAGGCATTAAGCAGAACTTCTTCATGCTGAGGTGGTAGCAGTAAACTAAACCACCAGCCCTGGATTTGGACACCGCTGTTTTAGAGATTTAATGATATTTCACTAAATGAGCCGATATTTGGAGTTAACAGATTTTATTGAGGTTCGAGTTGTTGCCATGTGGTTAGCTGGGTGAGTCTGAAAGCAGAGTCTCTGTTTCTTTATTGTAATAAATTCAACCTTAAAATGTGAAGAGAAACAAGACTGTTTTCTTTTTGGTTTGTTTTAAATAAAAACTAAATTAAATCAAAATAGCTGTCCTTATATTTCTGACAGTTTTATGCTGAAGTTTTTTTTACAGGTGATATAGAATGTGTAGCAGAGCGGTTCTATGCATGAATACATCCGATAGTTACGTGGTAGTTACAAGGTTCTGTAAAATTACTCTGAAGATTATAGAGCAATGTACTGATAAGACAAAAGTTAACATTCTACTTTTGAATACCTATGTATTTTAAAAAGTAGTACTTCTCATTACTTTGTTCACCCCTGATAGCGTTGCAACTCGTGGAGAAGAGCAGCACCTAAAATAGGAAAGTTTTAAGGGGACTGAACACTTTACTAAAGGAAGGAAAAATATAAAAGTTCTTGTTATTGCAAATATTTCGCACCAAATATATATAAAATTCTTCAAATTGAAACAAATAAAGATGCATAAATGTTTAACCTTTAATAATAAACAAGCATTAAAATCTGAATCCAGCTCTCAACAATTTTCTCAGAGGGAGGGGCGGTAAAGATGGCGGTCACCTCAGACCCCACCAAAGATGCTCCTCAGTCATTTATTTAAGTCGTAGGGAAGCAGATGTTCCAACTGTTGCATTTCCGAATTCTCCCAATTGGTGCACGACTTTATACGAGTAAATAAAGTGAATGTGATTGGTCATTTATCAAGAGGGTGGGATTGTTGTGGCGGAAGGTTTG